TGTCAATCTCAAAATCAATCATGTTTATATACTTTAAAGTTTCTTTATTTCTTTTTTTGATAAATAATAAATTTATCTTTGTTTATTTGTTTTAGTAGATTCAAATAGATTTTATTAAATCAAAAATGGTACACCATCAATTACACGAAAACACACTATTAAGTTAACTTATTACAAAGTCACTTTTGAAGTACAGCGAATTCTTGTTCCTCATATACATGTTTAATTAATTAATATCCAAGTCTGGGTGAATTATCCCATTTTGGATTATTGCCATTAATTCCTTCCAAATAAATAATACAAAATATTTTAATTGACAATCCGTGAATGAATCAGTGAGATGTTGATCATTTTGTTATGAAATTTTGTCACCAATTATTACTAATAAAATAAGAAATTTCCCAAATCTCACTGTCCTCACTAGTTAATTCTCATGTCCATACAAAAAATACAGAAAACAACCTTAGAAATTGTTAAATACTTCTTTAAAACTCTTTTTCAGTTATTTTTTAATTTTACTATAACAACATATAAGTTCATTTGATAGGTTTCATTAAAATAAAAATTTTTTTTGTTGATAAACCGATAAAAAAAAAGTATAATTTTGGTCAGAAAACTTTATAGTGTTGGCTGAAAGTTAAAAAATTCCGAATTTTTATATGTTATTGACTTCTTGAAATCTCAGTGACAAGCATACAAAAGTTTTTGAAGAACAATCCAATCCCTTTAATATTTTGACATATTATTCTATGAGATTTACCTTACACATACATAAAAAGAGCAAGATTTGTAATACAAAAATATCATGCTTTATTACAGTCAAGTATTTTACCAAATTTGGAAATACTAAATGCCGTAATGATCGATGGTATGAAAAATTCTAGAAGAAATTCTGATTGGCTAAATTCAATCAGGGATAATACCCTGTAATGATCGATGCTATGAAAGTAAATTCTAATTGGCTAAATTCTGTGCAGATCTTTTCGTTGAATAAAAAATAATAATCTTTTTAAAGGAAAAGAAAAACAAGAAAAACATGGCGGGAGCTTTATTAATTGGTCATATAATTTCCAAAATTATACAATATGTGCATTTTTAACTTTTCTACAAGCCTACCCAAGATCAAGCAATGTCAGAAATGCTATTTAACTAATATATAGCATATTATTAAGGGTAATATTATATACAGAAAGGTTCTTTTTATGAAATATACAGAACCTATGTGACAAATAAGGATTAATTCTT